TTTCAGGCAAAAATAGAAATCGTAAACCATTTAAAAGCACTGAAAGAAATCTAGGTAGCCGCTTAACTTGCAGGGCAGCACTTACATCTTCGCCTGTTTTAGATTATTTGGCACTTTTTCAAATGCAAAAGTGGGCCCTTTATTCCTCTTACTTACAAGTCAGAGTCTCATTGCGGATAATCTGGAACTTGGGAGCACTTGCTTTATGATCTTAGTTCTGCCACTGACTCCTCTGTGGCCCTGGAAGTTTCTTGTTTCCTGTACCCACCTCCCCATCTTTACAACGGATCTGATATTTTCACTCCAGGTGGCTGGCAGGGATCGGATAGCGTTGAGTTATGTGAATTCAAAACATCAAATAATGTTAACAGAAATCATCCAATGGAGGAAACATTACGGATTGAAGGAGGGTGGTTTTTAGATCCTTTTCCTCCCCAAAAGTAATTACGGTTTTGCAGTTGAGCAGGGTGCGCTTGCCAGTGCATTTGTGTGCTGGAGGGCCGGCACCTGTTTTCCACTGGAGAATATCAGCTGCAGATGTGGTTACCTTCATTGCATGGAGTAATTCCAGGCGTAGGGACAGAGCGTTGCTGGCCTGCCCCCGAAGCTTAGCTTCTCCCGGTGGAAAGCTCAGCAACAGCTCGTGTCCTGTGCTGGCGGCACTGGGAATACGCCCATCGCCTCCGGTGGCAGGGGAGCAGGAGATCACGATCCGTTCCACTTCAGATGTGAGGCTGCTTGAGATTTAGCTCTGTGTGCATGGACAGAAAATGCAGCTCTAAATCAATGAGGCAAAACATGTTCGGTTACATTTGCGTACGTTTGAAGTGGCTATAAAAAGCAATCGGTGTTTCTACATTTTTTACCACATTGATTTGAAGGCTGAATTTGGTTTGTAGTGTTTCTCTTTTTGTGTTTATCAAGAAAGGTTTGTGCTTTTCTCTGATAAGCTTCACTTTAAAAAGACTGTCTGTTTGGGAAATGTAGAAAAGAAACCACTTTGTACGGTCATACTCCGTCGAAGATGTTTTTTCTCGTCAGTGCACAGTGACTAAGACCTGACCTAGAATACGTAGTGTTTCTGTGTGGCGACGAGGTGATATTTCCCTTTCTAACCTTCCCTGTTTTTCATTGTAGGCTTGATCCCTATACAGATCCCTATTATGACTATGAAATAGAACGGTTCTGGCGTGGTGGGCAGTATGAGAATTTCAGGGTTCAGTACACAGACCCAGATCCATACCGTAACTACAGAGTAAGTAAGGTAATACCCCTTCCCGCACTTCTCCTTTCAACTTTCTTCCAGGTACTTCTTTCTGGCGCTTGTCACGTTTCCAGTGCAGTGGTTGAAACGGGACTTTTCATGTATGTTCAAGATGCTGAACCTTACAAATAATTAAATCTTGACTTAATTACTGCACAGAACGCGCTCTAGGTGCAGGGATGGGAGGATATTCTGTTTCGGCGTGATGAAGGCAAAAACACATCTGAGATGGGAAGGTGGTTCCTCTTCATGCGCGCTGGCTGCTCCTCTGCGTACCAGGCAGTGGTGCAGCGCTTACGGCCGCTTCTGCAGCCGTTCTTGGGAATGTTGGGAGAGGGGAGGGAGTTTCCAGGAAATAACCTGACTGAGGACCGGTTCGCTTGTTAGTTATTGGGACAGACGGAAAGGATTAGATTTGGACAGGCGTGATTTGCGTACAGACGGAGGCTCCAGCATGACTGTCCACCACTGGTGGCGTTGCACCGTGCTTGCTTTGAGTCAGAAGAGGAAAGCGCCCAGCCAGTTGCTAAAATCCCAGATGCAGTTGGCTGGTGTTGCACCGCTGCAAGGTGTAAAGCGCGGTGAAAATAAGGCTGTGAACCCTTTCCCTCCGCTTGCTTTTGCCCTCATGCAAACTGTTGTGCCTCGAGGGTAGTGGCAAAAATAATAAATCCTGCTCGGTGGGGAGCTTTTCACTGGTATTCGTCACATCCTTTAAAAAGTGGCTTTCCTTGTGCTGCAAGACCTTGCTGTTCTACAGAAGCAGTGCATGAACAGGAGCCTGTCCTCACTATTGTTGCACATGATGCATTATCAATTATTTTCATGGTGCTTGCTTGTAAAGTTAATTAGCTTGTTATAAACATGATTAGCAATGAGAGTAAATATTTGTAAACATCAATACATTTATTTAATAAGCATAATAAGTCAAATTAATCTTTGACTGCTGCCTTTGAAAATTACAACTGTGATGAATACGATGCGGTGTCTTGTTCCTCTCCACTTTCTGCCTGCTCAGCAAACAGTGATGGCCAGCAAGCTCCAGATTATTTATCTCAATACTTTGCTCTAACATGGGAGGGCGTATGTAATTGTTTGCGGTCCAAGACTGAAATTTTGCTGCCCACTTCGTTGGGAGATGTAACCTAACAAGAAATCATCACGATGATTTCTCTTTTTCTTTTTAAAGGAAAGAGAGGGAGA